GAAACTTCTCTGTTCAAAGTTTTCTTTGCGGATTCGGGGAGATCTCAGCGAGCACAGTCCAACCATGTTTTCAAAAAATAAAAAAAATAAAAAATTGACCCACTTTTGGGCCCAACCGGAATTCCGGTTGGACCACCGGGGGTCCAACCGGCCCGGTTGGACCACCGGGGGTCCAACCGGCCCGGTTGGATCCAGCCCGGTCCAACCAGCCGGTTGCCAGCACTGCCATGCAAGAAAGGATATAAAACGGACGGGCAGGCCGCCATGACAAGGCCTACCTGCATGTCCTTTTGTCATACACTACCATTTCATTTTTGCCAACTCGCAGTACCGGTGAAAAACACCCTTGTGTGCTTCACTTTTCATGACTGACAATTTTGGTTGGGACGGACTGTCAGTGATGGACTGTTGATTTAGCATTACTCCCCAGACCACTGGACATCACCCAGCACACAATTACTTCGATGACTGCACTTTTCCCTCAAACATTACCCAGCGCACAATTACTTCAATGAGAAGACAGGATAATGCAATGCAGCTCGTATATCGAACCTATATACCCACAACGGGCCACAAGCCTAAATTTTCCAACTACAGCAAATCAAATGCTTCCCCCCCTTGTCCGAAAGTCAGAAACCCCTCACAAGTGACCATGACATACTTTCCAATCTGGCATTGCTGAATATTCCACAACACGTTAAATCTTTTTTTTTTTTTTTTTTTTTTTTTTTTAACAACACGTTAAATGAACTTCAATCTTATCCAATTATACTCCACCAAAGTCCCGAATCGATGCAAATATATTTCAATCCACTGGAACGAGCAAACAAAGAATCTTTCAGGCCGCCAGAGATTATTTTTTTTGTCTTCTAAGCAAAGTCTGACAGCCCATACTCTCAACAAACTAGCTTTAAATCTGAAAGCGCCGGCACACTTCAGGTCAAAACAAATGCACCAAACATCAGGGTAGTCACGCCGACGGTCGGCGGCCCTGGACCCGTCGGCTGCCGACCAGCCGACGGTAGGCACCCCGCAACCCAAAAAAAAAAAAATCTTTTTTTTTTTGGGTCCAGAACCCCAAATAACCCCATCCACAGCCCCATAGCCCCCCCCAACACCCCCATACACCCCCCCAACACCCCCATACCGCCCCCTAACACCCTCATAACCCCCCCTTAACCCTATAGCCCCCTATACCTCCCCCTAACACCCTCATGCCCCCCCTTTTACCCCCTACAACCCCCTGTAACCGCCCTCCCCCTATAACCCCCACCACCCCCCAAAAAAATTATTGCAGATTTGGGCTGCTCTCCTCAAGCCGCACACGACCATGTAATCAGAAAAAAAAAAATTAGGCAGTCTGCCGACCGCCGACGGGTCCACCTACGGGTCGGCCCGACTGGTAGGCGCACCTACCACCTACGGTACGCGTAGGCGGTAGGCGCCAAAACAACCCTGCCAAACATGTATTTAAACCACCAGTACACGCTACCCTGGAGGCTTTCCACTGCACGCCAAGCTTTGCCAATCCGCCAGCCACACACTTTTTCCCTTTTTTGGCTGGGACCGCCAGCCATTGCGGTCCAGTAGGGCCGAGGTGCAAAATTTTCAGAGTAGGCGACAACACATTTCCTGCATGGCTGGGACCGTGTAGTGGCGGTTGTTTTGTCATCTAGTCACACCGGTCTCTAAACCTTTAAGGAGTTCAGAGACCAGCATTGCGGACCAGCATTTCAGAACCAGATAGTCTACGAGAGCGTAATAGAGCCAACCAAGAACGTTCCAAACCAGCCAAAAACGTTCCATGAGAATTACATTCAAGGCCCCTTGGGGCTAAAGGCAGGCAGGACCAGCAGACTTACCAATCATGATACGTGCCGATCAGGCCCCGATCAAACACCGCACCAAGGGTATTCATGCCATACGTTGAAACAACATTCATTGTCCAAACAGGCATGTCAATAAGGGCCGCAGCAAAGCTTCCATATCCGGCATTCATGTCCATCACGTTGCGAATCTTGTTGCTCCCCAGCTCACCTACAACTGTCTGCAAAATAAACACAGTAACATTCTTGTTACTCGCAAAGTCAATGCTAGCAATGCGGCAAAATCACTCCACACCAGCACTCTGTTCCACATGAATAAAGCAAGGAGGTAGCTTTACCAACTCCAAAGCACCCACTAGGAACTGTCTGGAGTATAAGAGTCCTCTCTCTCTCTCTCTCTCTCTCTCTCTCTCTCTCTCTCTCTCTCTCTCTCTCTCTCTCTCTCTCTCTCTCTCCCTCTCTCTTGCTCGGTCTGTGTAGTGCATGCATTTGTGCATGTGTGTGTCGTCAGGTTCGCTCCAACTCCACATAAAGGCATGACTGTGCCAGACTGTTTTGTCAGACTTTCACAGAATCATCAGGATGTTGAACCTCAGCAGTTTCATCTGTTCTCTCAGAAATGCTCCTCCATTCACGAATGAGAAACCTGTGGAGGGTACGCACCCTCGGCATGCCCGTGAGGGACCCCGACAGCAAGCATGAGCCCGCCCTAAGTGAAGGCGAGCCCCCGAATTTACAACGAGGCCTGAGTTTGTCAATTTTGCAAAGCTTTGGTGGGTGCTAGACAGTTGCCACACGCCAGTTGGTTACATCCGCCTTGCTTGTGAGAATCAGAAATATTTGTGCGCCTTCTAGGCTCTTCCAACGTGTGCCTGGGTGGTTGGGCATGCCTAACCAATTCGGTCCCAGGCCACTGTCTGAATGGGCCTGGCCACAGACACTTTGGCCCAAGCTAGAGGGCACACACGCGGCCCAGCCAGGCAGCAAACTGGGCAAGCACTTTCCATATAGGAAAAGGCTTGCCACTGGTGGGGACATTCGGGCAGTTGCGAGTGCATGCACCAGCGCTGTTGGAGCAAGTGCTTGTGTGCTGCTGCGCTAGCGCAAAAGCCTGGTCGCACGCGGGCGTCTGTGGAAGCAGGGCACTGCAAGGTGGCAGCGCCATAGCCAAGCCCTCCATAGCCGTGCTTGGCTTGGACGAAGGTCAGTGGGGGATTGGCAGTGATCTTCAGGTAGAGAGGAGACATGGGAGAAGAAAACAAGGGTGAGCATGAGAAGGAGAGATGAAGGGGGTGATGTTATTGCACGTACCTGGTCTTGGGGGACGCCTACGTGGTCGACATCTGCACGTACTTCGGTTGCTGTTGCTGACGTCAACGGGTTGCTTGTCATTTCGTAGCTAGTGCATAGCTGTAGGATAGTAGTCTGGGCGCTAAGCGCCATTAGGAGGAAGAGCTTCGATTGCATTGTTGGTGGTGGCGAGAGGATCCTTTCATTGACAATTGATTTCGCTGCTTGGGTTCTCCTTCGGTGTAATATCAGTGCATTTCTGCTTTCTGGACAGCGTTTCGACTATCTTGCTTTCAACGTGATTTTGCAATCTGGAATTCTGTCATTTCGCTACTGCTCATTGACGTTACAATGGTATCGGAGCTCGTTCGAGCCGCTCCGCTGGCGCCATTGGAATAGCTGTTTGGCGCTTCGACGTTGGATTGCGAGACAGTGATAAGGCTCGTGCCTTGGGTGATTGGCGGCCCTGGGTCATGAGGGCACGCCAGGAAGGCTATGTGTCAACATAGGGGTGCACGCTGGATGATGAGAGCTTGCTGACGTGGCATTTAAGCCACAGTGGAACTACATAATATTGTGGGTTGTGTCGAGGCACCGACCGGTCATCATAAATGCACGTCAGGTTACTGATGAGAAGTCTGTGGTTGGGGGCAGCAGTCTGAGGTGAAGTTGCTTCTTACCTTATCTACCCTCTTTGTCGCTTCTTATCGTGAGGAAGTGAGTCTTGTCTTGAGAGTCCTCTCATTGTGAAGTGCCGCGAGCACTCAACCTTGAGAGTCAACATTCTTCCTGGGGAGCATGCTGGTGGGAGACGGGAGTTGCCTCTGAAGGCCCCTGGACGACACACTTGGGTCATGGTCACCATGCCAAACCACTGGGAGAAGAGCACGCATGCTTTGTCGCTGAGTCCTTCCATCTGCTTTGCTGCGCTGTAGAGGTCGTGTTGGGCAGGCCAGCCCTATGAGGGAGAGATGAGTACTGGACCGTCTATAAAGAGACTTCGGCGGGGATACACGACTCGCGCTGTACGCAAGTATAAAAATAGTACGGACGGGGCTGGCCAGTTCTGCATCGATCTGAGGCACAGGGGTGGGCTGATTGCATACCTTCCGACAAGCTGCTCAACCAGAGCTCTAGGGAAGTTGACACTCAGTGACAATTCAATAGAGATTGAGGGGGGGGGAAGATTCCAGTAGACTGCTCAATTGTTAATTCTTGTTTATTTCCATTCAGCTTGTGTTCCACACTTCCAGCAAATGATTTTTTTTTTAATTTATTAGTTAGTTGTTACGGACTCTGCTGACAGACTGCTGCAGGTAACATGGAAATTTATTCTTGGCTGCATTGCAATCTGTTACAGACTAGTCAAGTAGGAGTAGAATTGTTTGTAGGAGTCTGAGCTTATCTGCTGTACCGCTCGACTACTTCCTGACATTTCTGGACCGGACAATTATTATTTTTTTTTTTTTTTAAGAACCGGTTGGATGCCACACTGCGGTAGGTCCCAGCGAGGACAATAGTGCAGATCGCATGTCACCCATAGCTCATGAGTGAAGATAACAATGAGGTTGCGAGACTGGCCCAGGACGATAGGAGGGTTACCCGTAGACAGGCACTGCGTCGGCAGACCACTTCCTTGGTTTTAGAACCAAGAGAGGAAAGGAGACTGCGGAGAGAAGCCCAGGAGAGGAGACGTTTGCAAAGGGCACAGGCAGCAGCAGCCAAGGTAGAGAGAGTATTAGCAGCTGCGGCAGCAGCACAAGCTAGAGCTGAAGCGGAGGCAGCAATGGCTACCGCCTCTCCTATCTCACAGGCCTCTTCCCAGGCTACTTCGTCAGGTGTAAGTCAGGGTACGTCCCAAGCTACCGTCAGTCAGTCTGCTGGCTTGCAGACCAGCCAGCAGCAATCCATGTCAATAGAGGATTTGGAGATCCAACAATCGAACTTCACGATGAGTTAGGTGCCAGTTAAAGATGGTAGACGGTAGGAGAGATAGTGCCAAAACAAGAAAAGCTAGACTAGAGGCAAGGAGAGCGGAGTTAGGTAGGCCGGAAGCTTTCAACGAGTCCACACTTGATCCTGTTACAGTGTCCCTTCGGCGCAGTCTGTTGAGTGTGGCTGAAGTGCAGGCCGTGCAGCAAGAGATGTTGGCTGCATTGATAACAGGCCAGAATGAAATTATGGCTACGCTTAGAGCGCCTAGGCATATGGCCAGGCCAACGCCAGCTACTGTAGCTCCACCCATGGTGGCCAGGCCAGCGCCAGCTACTGTAGCTCCACCCATGGTGGCCAGTCCATCAACGACGCTGCCACCCTTGAGAGGTCCCTTTGTTCCACAGTTTGGCATTAGTCCATCAAGCGGGTTAGTAGCAGGCAGCCCCTGGGACCACCTTCTTCGGGCAGCCGGCCTAAGGGTCAAGTGGAACAAGGACCACCCATATGGGTGAAACTTGGATTGGATTACGATGTGTGGCGTGACCGTGTTGCTCGGGGCACATATCTGAATTGTGAATACTAAGGCCACACAATGAGTCGCTGCAAGAGCAAGCGAGTCAGAGAATTAATGGTTACAAAAGGACCCTAGAGACTCCTGGAGGAGAATCCTTGGAGTTAGAGAATGAATGGTTAGAAAAGGACCCTAGAGACTCCTGAGTGATGTTAACAAAAGGTCCAAAGGGTGAATATTTCATGGTAGGAGTCGATGTAGGTGGCCGAAAAGTTGGGGCCTTTGCAGACATAGGTTCTACGCAAATTTCATCAGTCGTGCTTGTGTGTATAGGCTTCATTCAGGGGACCAAGTGCAGCAGCTTCGCAAGTTGTAGCATCTACCTTGGCCAACAAGCACTCTATGGTAGTCAAGGACATAGTTTGTACCTCTTCCTATGGAGGAGGGGAACTGAGACATAAGATCTCGTTCCTGGTTAGCGATGAGCTGCCTTCCGATATGCTGTTAGGTATGTACTACCTCGAGGTTGTTAAGCCTCAGTTTGATTGGGATAGGAAGGTGATGATGTACAAGTTGCCAAATGGGAGGACCGTTAGACTGCAGAAGTACAAAGCAACCAGCCTAGTCGAGTCCTATGGTTGCATGTGTGCCTCAACTTTCTATAATTATTAGAGGATGCTACCTTCCCGGTGACTCGCTTGCTCTTGCAGCGACTCATTGTGTGCCCATAGTTGCATAATTATTAGAGGATGCTACCTTCCCGGTGAGTCCTATGGTTGCTTGTGCGCCTCAACTTTCTATAATTATTAGAGGATGCTACCTTCCCGGTGAGTACTATGGTTGCATGTGCGCCTCAACTTTCTATAATTATTACAAGCAGAATCGCGAGGAGGGTATCTATCTAATCTTTGTCTCTGAAAAAGGGGAGGCCGTAGAAACACCCCCAGAGATAGAAGCAATATCCATCCTTTTTTTAGGAGCCTTGGGGCATAGTCAAGAGGGAGATTCTCCGCGCAATTGAAGTCATTCTAGGTAGCAAGGTACCTAGAGGACGGATATGTAGGATGTCTCCCTAACTTCGCCGACAGCTCATAGAGCTCACAGAGAAGGGCTGGATCTGGCCTAGTACCTCCCCTTATGGTGCACCAGTTCTATTTGTTCCTAAGGAAAGGTGTACCTTGAGGATGTGAATTGACTATCGGGGCCTCAATGCCATAACAGTTAAGAACACAGAGCTCCTACCCCACATCACGACCTCTTGGCTAGACTGCAGGGATGTAGGTACTTTGTAAGATAGATCTAAAGTTTGGATACCATCAGATTTCCAGAAGGCTTGAGGATCAACACAAAACTGCCTTTCAAACCAGGTATGGTCTGTACGCGTTTGTGGTGATGCCTTTCGATCTTTGCAATGCTCATGGGACATTCCATCACGCGATGAAAGTTTAGCGACATGTACCTCAACTACCTCAACAACATCCTTAC